TTCCAATTGTTAGTACAGTTCATTATCAATTACAGGCAGAGTTCTGCAGACCGAGGTAGTTACATCTCTCACCTACTTCCATAGACTTTTTTTCTGAGTAATACAGGATTCAATCCAGTAACATTTCCTGGCTCTACTTAATTCTGCCTTGGGAAAACCTCCCTGACATGAAGACTATAACATAAAAGTGAATCTAATGGGACTAAAATCATGTAAAGGAAATAGTGGCCACAATCTATAATAGCTGCAGCCAACCATTACTCAAGGAGATATCCAGCAAGTGAGGTTTCAATTGGGTCCATCAGTGCCAGATATTGGTTTCTCTCCAAGCTGGAGGGAATTTGCTGTGGTAAGTGTGAAGAAGGGCAACCAACTACAACTTGACATCAGTTGCAACTTTTAATTCCTTGCTCTACTCTTAGCAAGAGGAATAGTTCCAAGTAACATTTAGAACAATGGAGGCAATATATTTATTTTAATAGCAGTGGAAACAAAATAAAATGATAGAACAAATGTTTCTTTAAATATAAGGCTTTTAGACATCTGTGTACTGCTAAGCCCCAATTGTGAATCAAGCATAATTACAAAAATCCATATAGGATTCAGGAAAACATATGATAATACTTAGTCTTACACATAAAATTTGTGTCACTTACCACAAAGTCAGATAGCAAACAGCATATAAAGGAAAAACTCAGAAACAGTATTTACAAATTTATACTATGTAATAAGTGAGAAATTGCTTGTTAGTAAACAGCAGATTATGAATTATACTACATCCCAAAAGGCATGTATCTGTGATCATCATCAGATATTTATTATAAAGTAAGTTGAAAGACAGATTGTCTGGAAAAATAAAGTTTGTTTCATTTCAAACTTACGCACTCAGTCACCAGAATTTTATGCTATCTGTATATTAATATAAAATGTACATGAGCACCTGATCCAACCCAATGGGGTTACATAGGCCTAACTGCAAATTTCATTCATTCATAGCAGAAATTAACAATTGGAAGTCAGTGTGAAAGGCCATTATTTACCTTTTTGCAAACTTCTGTCTGTTGCTAAGTTTTAAATGCTTGTATAAAAACAAATCCCCATACCATGTTTGTAATATGATCATAAATAGGAAATAGTTTAAAAATGTAAGATATGATTACCTCAGACTGTCAAGCTGTTTTGCACTTTGGAAAAAAAGTGAACACAAAATCCTCCCCCCACCCTTCAAAAAAAATCCCTATAATCCAATCAGATGAAAGTTAGAACTGGCACCAGTATTCATGCTAGTTGTCCTGCTGTGGAAAAGAAACAATTCATTTACAATATTCAGAAGCTGTCTTATGTAGTAGCCCCAGGAAGTTAAACTTCTTCTCTGACCAACAGTTTTTATTTTCTTTTAAAAAGAAGTTCGATCAGGTATGACGTGGACAGCGTCCAGAAGGGGCAGGAATATCCAAGACTCTACGTCTGTCTTCATATTCATCAGTATCTGTTGAGTCTTCATCTTCATCCATAGCATATTCATTATGATTAGTTTCCTATAAACAAGACACCCCCATGTTTAACTAAATACTTAATAATTGCCTCCTAAATCTCACTTTGATCAAGTGCTAACAATGTAACAAAAAAATTAAAATCAAGATGTCATATCACATTTAAAGTCAGTCGCCGATAAAGACTAGTTACTGTAAATATGAAGATACTGCTAAATCAGATTTGTTTTCATGTATCAATTTTATAAAATGTGATCTACATGGCAATTATATTTCTAATCTCTTTAAACTTTTATTCATAAACTAAATAGACCAGTGAGATCAGAATCTGACTCAGTAACTGTTGGAATGGTGTTGAATTATTATAATTTACTGTGGTTGACATGAGTTTGGTAAAGGTTGGTAAGTCTGAATTTGCTGAAGAATTCTGGGAGTGGGGTTTTTTTTTGGGGCACCAGACAGGCTGTATGAAAGTTTACTGAAAGTGATGACATTACACTTGGACACTGACAATTATGTACTTTGGATGTTTAACCAGGCTCTCTGTGTGTATTTGTGCTGATGTAAAAAAAACAAACAAAAACCACTACGGTCATGGTTAGTCATGTTTACCAAACAAATCACACAAAAAACATGAAAATAGTGAACATAGAACTAACTTAACTGGGTTAACTAATCCTGTAGCACAACCAAGAGCTAACTCAAAAAGTAATTAATAAGTTAATAATTAATAAAAAAGTAAATTTCGGCCAGCCTTTAGTCTGTTCACATTATAGAAAAAAAGTTACAAAACATTAAAAGGGCATATTTCAGAACATGTAACTTGATTAAAAAAGGGGTATAAGTATTGAAAAATATTACATGCTCCTTCCTTCACCCCGATTAACATCTGAAAAGGCTTGTAACAGACCAAGTGCTTTAAAAAAACCCAACAATCCCCCCCCCCCAGCCCCCCAAAATAAAGGTTTTCATCTAGAACTGGTAGCTATACCGGCTTTGTTTGTTAATCAGGGCTATGTTTACTACCGAGGTAAGTCGACCTACGCTACGTAACTCCAGCTACGTGAATAACGTAGCTGGAGTCGACGTACCTGAGGTCGAGTTATCGCGGGGTCTACACTGTGTGTGTGTGTGTGTGGGGGGGGGGGTGTCGATGGGAAAAAATCTCTCGTCGCCTTACCTTATTCTTCTTGTTGTACAAGAGTACAAGGGTCAACTGGAGAGCGATTTGCAGTCGATTTGGCGGGTCTTTACTAGACCCGCTAAATTGACCGCCGGTGGATCAATCTAAGAGCATTGATCCTGGCTGTAGTGTAGTGCCCCAGGATACTGTGTAGGGCCAACACAGTTACTAAGGGTTTATGCTTGAAAAATTAAGGCTTATTTAAAAAAAAGCATGGTATAACCTTTCTGCTGCCTGTGTGAAATTCTTTTAAATAAATAGCTTTGCATTAAAAAACAAGAACAAAAAACTAAATCTGGGTTTTACTGGCACTAATACTGCAAATTCTTCCCAGCTGTGGGCCAAGAAAAATCTCAGCTCTTCACTAACAATTGAATTCAATCAGTTCTTTCTGTTTTACAAGTATGTAACAGAGCAGAATTTAAGCCACTAGGTATGAATTAGAGTGAATACTCTAAAATATCAGTGTACCACTCAACTTTAATATACATAATCCTCTGCTAAGCATCTGTATAAGAGGCAGAGTAATAAAATTATCAAATCAAATGCAAGTGATTTCTGCAACTTGTGGAACAGAAAAGAGGTCCTGGTTTAAATAAAGGTAACCAAAGGAAAGAGAGGGGAGGGGGAAAAAAGCAATTTATCTGTTACTAGTGTGACCTCGGTTGGCACTTTGTATTCACTGTTACCAGCCTAAACCAGTGCTAGTTTCCCAAAATAGCTTTTTTAAAAAGTAATCTTCTCCTAATCACATCACTTGATTGCCCATATTCCTCTTTAGCATTGCCCTGCACATGGATGCCAGTGTAATTAGCAGCTTCATTTCCCTCTTATGGAATCGGTTGACTCTGGGCTCTTTTTGCTTATTTGTCAATTCAGTTTTGTTTTGCTGCTCTGGATTTTGCAAGGCCTTCTGCTTCGAGTGTTTAACTACAGGGCCTGAAAAACATTAAACACCCTACATTCCATTGAACTACCTAGACATGGGACAGTTTACAGATTTTATCAAATCAATTTACATTTACGTCAAAACAAGCTAACAAAGCTGCCCAGATTCACCAGCTGCTTCCAAACCTTAAAACTAGATAATCATTCAATAGAACAGCAATTCACTAAATTTTTGGAGTTGATGCAGGAGTTACTGGGTGTAATTCCATGGCCTATGTTGTGCAGGGTAGACTAGATGAACATTAAGGTCTGTTTTGACCTTAAACTCAAAACAGCTTAAAAGGCCTGGTTAGCACATGTATGGAAACCTCTCTCCTATCAAGAAAAGCAGAGACATTCTTCTGATGTAGAAGGAAGCAAACCACAATCAGGTCACACCAAGACAGAAAGAGCTCAAATAGGTAACAATTTAGATTTATAAACAAGGATGTATCCATCCAATTTCACAGTTACAAAGATGCCAATGTCACAAGTTACAAAAACATAAAACTAAGTCACCTGCAGAACATCAAACTCTGTTCTCCCTCAAAGCCCAACATTGCAATAGCCTGCATAAATAGATGTGCCTGGAAGCATGCCCCGAAAGTCCACAGAAATGAGCTAGCATCTGGGCTAGAATGTGCAGGTAGAAGCCATTTCAGAATAGCAGACCCCTCATGGAGGAATTACTAGTCTACTTTCATTGTCAAGATGACTGAAGTTCAGTGTCTCCGTCCATTGAAACTGTAACAGAGTGGAAGGGGAAAAAGGTGGCCCATCAAGCAGGATGGTCCCAATCCACTTAGGAATTCATGGATAAAAATTAAACATCTTAGCTTCAAGCCATCTTTGATTCAAAATGCAAATTATAACTCCAGTGACATATGCTGCACCTAACAAGCATGTGCTGCTTAACAGACAGACCATTACTCCACTCAAAGTGTTGTATTAACTAAGGGAAGCCCCACATGAAGTGTACACAGTAATCCAAGCATGAGGTGACATTAACATTTAATCATAAGTGATAATTGTTAGATTCAATTAATCTATTGTGTTATATTCTCTTGGCTATATGATCACCCCAAAGAACTCAGAGGAATTCAAATTAGGGGACAGGAATTTTTGGGGGGGGGGGGGGGGGTGTCTTTATATATATCCCCATATTTTGTAATTGTTGTTCTTTTCCTTCCCCCTTGTAGGGAATTATCTACATTATAATACTAAGAAATGAAATAAAATTATAAAACTGGAAAAAAAGTGTCATGATTATGGAGTCTGGTAAGCCCTTTATCTAGAGAACGTATATTATACTGTTCTATTAGAGCTAATTTCATTCATGTTTTCTGCAAAAGGGTTAGGGATAAAAGCCTAGCACAAACGACAATACCAAATGTACCTCAGCTTACCATGCGTGCTGTAGACACCTTGAATGTTGGGCACACCATATGAAATCTGGGAATTATGACGTTAAAGAACTTGTCCTTATAGTAGAGACAATGGAAGGTATAGTATCCTTCCATGTATCCTGAATTAGTGGAGAAGGTAGTACAGCTGGTATATTCGTAAACTCGACCTGGGCTGATTATTGGAAATTCTCCTGCAGATACAAAAAACAACAAAGAGCCATTGGGAGTTTTGAATTAAAATAGGTATAAATAGCATATACTTTCCCTTGCAATATAGTTAATTTCGATAGACATTAAGTTCAGTTAGAGTTCTGCTGGAATACACAGCTAGTAACACAAGTTTGTGTTTCTGTAACTGTACTATACAAATAAAAAGAGGTAAGCTTGTTGTAACAAATCCTGTTTTAATGAACATTCTAGTGACTAGTTATCTTTGCATCACTTTCAGTCACAAGTCAATAGCAGTTTTTTAGAGAACATTGTTCACTAAATCAGAAGTGCCTAACTTGCTGAACAGGAGTCACTATAACAAGCTCAAAGGACAAGAATGCCCAAACAACATCCGGGGGGGAGGGTGGAGCAGGGAGAAGAGGTTTTGTTTGTTTGTTTGTTAAATCGGAACTACTGCTACAAATCATTTCTAAAAACAAAACAAAAATACTTAAGTCTTCTGACATGCACTTATGCGGTTAACCCTGATACATAGATAAAAACAGATGGCATTAGAGACTTCAGGATTATTAATATTAATTTGTATTCTCAAAGTGCTTAGGAGCCTCACTCAGGGACCAGGACCCCAATGTACTAAGTGCTGTACAAAAAGACAATTCCTGTCCCAAAGAGCTTACAATCTAAGTAATTCAAGAATCTTTAAATGGTTTGACTACTTATACTAATATTAACTACTGTATATTAATATACAGATTTGCCCAACAATATATATGCCCCAAAATTATATTCCTTAAGATCCTTTAAAATTGAAGTTAATGTTTAACACTTTCACTTACACACAATGCAATATGAGAAAGTAAAACAGAATGCATGTTTGCTAAGAGAAGAGAATAGCTACCATCTTGCATCATTACTGAGAATGGCTCCACCAGAAGTTACAGAATTTTCAGATTAATCACTGGAATGCTCTGAATGCTAAAATAAAACTCAAACTCTCAGTTTACATACCAACGACTCCAGGACCCTGAACTTCTTCTACGTCACCTTTGGCATTGGTTATTCTCCAGTACCGACTGTCCAACTGACAAGCCTTTTCAGGAAGAGCATCTTTGGACATCTCAATTCTATGACCCAAATCAAATATAGTTTTTGCTTAGAAATGCCTTATTTACATGTCTAAAAACAACCATAAAATGTTTAAAATACTATCCTATACTCCCTACTGCTTAGAGAAAGTGGTATGTTCTAGTGACCTGTGTACAGACCAAAGTAGGAACACCAGAGCACTAATCCCAGCTTTATTATTCCTCTTACCTACCTCTCCTTAACTCATGACAAATATTGTGACAAATGTTTGTTTGCAAAGTGATATGTGCTATATATTGTTAGTGAAAAGAAACCCCCCCCAACAAAAGTACAACGATAAGACCCTTTCCAAGTTTTAAAATAGTCAAAGCCTTTTTATTTAAACTATATTAAAACAAATATATTGCATGCTGTACACCAAGCCCCATATGTATATGGTATCTAAATTTCACCATATTTCACCATACTTCTGAGTACTATGCGTACGCATGCAACAGTCATGAGGCTTGAACTCCAGACAGGACTCTCTCCTGTTATCAGGAAGATAGCCCATTTGCTATTCTCACCTGATTCTGTAAGTGAAGAAGTAATGAGGTGGATGTACAGAACTGAGTTCAGGTAGAAAAGATGTGGAGACTGAAACAGTAATATCTCCTGTTGTGGCCACACACTCCTTATCATGAACATACCTGTGCAACAGAAACATAATAAAGAGTTGGAAATTTCTTTTGTATGGTGTAACCCAATTCCATGGATTCAATACAGATGCTAAAAGGATATTTTTGAAGAATACGTTTCCACATGCTACACTAATAGTATTTTGGATTATTAAACCCAAAATTAAAAAAATATTAATTATTCTGTGTGACTATTAGCTCTAAATTAAACTAGTCATTCTTTAGTCTTTGTGAATGCACTAGTACAACAGTGCAATACTTGCCTTAAACTACGAGAGCAGACTTTAGAAATGTCTTCATGCAATTCTTCACATTAGGTTGTGTACAAATCTATTTTGGAGATACAACATCTTACAGCATCCCATTAATCTTAAAAGGGGATATTATACATCAGTGGCTCTCAACTGTTCCAGACTACTGTACCCCTTTCAGGAGTCTGATTTGTCTTACATACCCCCAAGTTTCACCTCACTTAGAAATATAAAAGAGCATCACAGCCCACTATTACTGAAAAAAAAATGTATAATTATATGGTAAAAATGACAAAGTAATACAATAAATCAATTAGAATATGAATATTGTACTTACATTTCAGTGTATAGTATATAATATAGAGGAGCAGTCCCCAAACTTTTGGGGGTCTCGCCCCCCTTTACCCCTGCTCTCCCCCTCCCCCCCCGAGCCAGACAGTGACTCCGTGGAGAGGGGGGCCACGGACAGAGGTAAGGGGGCCAAGGCTAGGGACACAGGTCAGGGGCCAAGGCAGGGGCAGAGCCGCAGCCGGGCTGCGGTGGGGTCAGACAGCCGGGCCTGCAACCAGATGCAGCTCCGCTCCTGGCCTTGCCCCTAGTCTCTGTTCCAGACCAGGAACGGGGCTGGCACGGGGCCTGGAGCGGAGTCGCACCGAGGCTGGGGCTGGCGCCAGGAGCTGGAGATACTGCTGGGGGCAGGACTGGAGCACAGCGGGGGGCGGGGAGGAGCTGAGTGGCACTCCCTCCCCACCCATGGGGGCTGGCCTGGGTCCCACCATGCACCCTTGACCCCCAGACCTTTCTCCACATCCCCCTGGGGGAGGCATGCCCCACACTTCAGGGACCTCTGATATAGAGCAGTATAAACAAGTCATTATCTGTATGAAATTTTAGTTTGTACTGACTGCTAGTGTTTTTTATGTAGCCTGTTGTAAAACTAGGCAAATATCTATGAGTTGATGTACTCCCTTATGCGTACCCCTGGTTGAGAACTACTGTTATACACAACCAGGATAAAAACAAAAACATCTAGAGAAGTGCACTTGGAGCTTCAAGGTAAATCCATCTCCAAATCTTGTTTGTTTAGAGTATCATAATACATGTATTCAATACAACATTCAAATCAATAGTAGATAGACCATATCACTGAAAGAATCCCTTATTTAAAATAGCAAATGTCATTTGTTTACCAGTTTTGTTGTAGCTGTTTTGGCCTCAGGATATTAGAGAGATAAGGTGGGTGAGGTAATATCTTATTGGACCAACTTCTGTTGGTGAGAGACAAGTTTTTGAGCTATGCAGAACTGCTCTTCAATAAATTCCTACACGATCTGCAGCTGCATCTTGCTCACTAGCCCACTTATTTTGCACCTCAAGTTCTTGGCAGGCAGATGAGTTAGAGCTGGTATTAATTACAATCCCTTCAGTGTGATGCTACTAGTTCTAATATTCCTGGTAACAAAACAGGATTAGTTTAAGCCTTTAGATTTCTGCAACTATATCTGTTGTATATATTACATATCTCTTCTCTCCGTACCCACCCATTTACCCTCATGTCATACACATCTGCACCCAGCTGTTTGGAAAAAAAAATCAGCATTTAAAATAGATTGATTTTCTCTTCCTTATAATTATGCTGCACTACAGATCAAAAGTCACAATACCTGAAAATCTGGTCCCTGATGATGGGATAGCCGCCTGTTACGACATTGTTTACATAAGATGTGAACCACTCCAAATAAGAAGTACCTAGATGCCAAAGAGGGAAAGTTTTACAAGAGCAGGTACTCTTATAATTAAGCTAGTTACAATATTAACTTTTTTTTTTTTTTTAAACATAGGCAATATAAAAGCTAGTAGGCTTTAATATAAACAATTCCCAGACCTCTGTAGCGGAGTAACACATTCCTCATCCTGCTCTATTCAAAAAATTCAACTCTGCTTTTGCTGGGAACTAAATTACGGCTTAAATGGTTTGCTTGTTATCCTCCACTCACTGTGTCACAGCTAAAATGAGCCTGTATACTCTTCAGGCCAGGAACCATGGCTTTCTATTTATATTGTGAAGTACCTCGCACAATTCTGAAGTATAAAAGCATCCAACAACTGCCTTTTAGACCTTTGCTGGTACTGCATGATTTAAGGAGACAGTGGCTTTACAAGTAATGTAATTACTATACCTATTTCTTAGGCACTGTACTCCACAGTTAATCCAATATTCTATTTGCTAAAGCTGGTAGGTCTATTATTGGACGTACAAGCTTGGTTTTGGTTTGTAGGGATCTGCATGTATAAACAGGTAAGGTATTAAAGTTTCTAAGAAATCTAGCAAATTTTGTAAGTTTCTGTACTCACAAGACCAAAGCTGAAAAGTAGGGTGGAAGAATGTGCAACATGCACACCTGTTACCACCACAAGCTCAGAGCTCTGGGTTTATAGGTCACCTAATATAGAAACAGCGTTCCAAAAACCTGCAGTCATCATTTTGAGAACAGCTGGATTTATCAGGATCATAAAAATTCAATAATTGGGCAGATTCAACCTTGACAGAGTCCCTTTAATGAATGAAGTCCTCAAAGACAAGACATTATCCTCTATAAGTGAAATAAGCTATAGGTAATTCAATTAATTCAGGCAACGTATTATGGGTTTTAGTAATGGAAGATCAATAGTTCTTTAAATTTTGGTTTATATTATTGATGTGAAATATGTTTGTTTTTAAGTTAATGATTTCATAATATTCTATTTCTCACAAGCTACACAGGGTTGCTATGGCACAAAGCAATAATTAACACAATTTACTCATCACTTGTTCTTAATTTTGCCCTAAAAAGCCATTTAATTATTTGTACTGTCCTGCCATCTTTGGGGCTCCTCTGTTGCTTAGAGGTCTCCAATAATTTATCTTCTCCATTTTCCTTCTTCTATCACCCCACCCAATCATCTTCAACATTTTGTCTTGGCCTTGAAATGCTAGAGTTTGGGGTGCACACTAGCTGTATGATTCACTCTGCAGTTTGAACACTTGGTTTTTATATGGAAGTAGGAAATACTTAGCAGATTAATCTTCTCATGTACATGGAATGTGCTGTGCCAGGATACTGGTCCACAACAACTGGAAGTCATTGTTTCCATAAGGACAAGGCCAACCCAAAGTGATAATTAACAGTAGATCACTGCAGTCACTATCTCTAAAACAGTTCATTTTCCTCACAAATTGCAAATAATTAGAATAGTACTTTGAACTTCTACAACACCTTTCATCTGAAGATTTCAAAGAACGAGACAGTAAACCGCAACACTCTTGTGAGGAAGACGACATAGTGATTTCCTCACCCAGCACTGCAATACAGCTACCTCTGGGGCGGAATAAGTGACATGTTTTCCAATACACAGCCACTGCAAGTCCAAAATTGGAGGACTAGAAGACTAGGAAGTCTTAGTAAGAGTTTCTCTTGCCTTTCCTTTTACCCATAAATGAAAATATTATGGCATGGCCCAGTGGGGCTATTACTCATCATTGGTGTTGCACTAGAAACAACCTGTGATGCAGGTTAGCATAGATTATGCATATTAATAGAAGTCTAAATTAAGGTACTGTTTTCACCCAACAGGAAAGCAGTTCAGTTAGTTGAAGGCTTCCACAGCCAATAGCTAGGGCCCTACCAAATTCATGGTCCATTTTGGTCAATTTCATGATCATAGGATTTTTTTTTTTTAAATAGTAAATGTTATGATTCATGTGGGCCCAGCTGTGAAGGCAGCGCTACCGCCAGTATCAGCGTAGAAGTAAGGAGGCATGGTATAGGTATTGTCACCCTTACTTCTGCGCTGCTGCTGATGGGGCGCTGCCTTCAGAGCTGGATGCCATTTTGGTCAATTTCATGATCATAGGATTTTTTTTTAAAATAGTAAATTTCATGATTCATGTGGGCCCAGCTGTGAAGGCAGCGCTGCCGCCAGCAGCAGTGCAGAAGTAAGGGTGGCAATACCACACCCCC